AGCTGCTGGGAAAATGCTAGGAGATTTGTTAAGAGCTAAGATGTACTTTCCTCCACATAACCTCCTCACTCTGTACAATGCGCAGATAAGGCCTAACCTATAGTACAGCTCATGCACTTGGGATGATGCCAGTGACTGCATTGACCATGCTCGATGTTGTTCAGTGAAGGGCTGTCCGTCTGATCAATTACTCTTTTCTGTCAGCTAGTCTCGGAAACCCTTTCGCATTGACGGTCCGTCGGCAATCTAGCTCTCTTCTACCGCTATGATTACGGGTTTTGTTCCTCAGAGCTCAGAGGGACCCGCCTGACTTCGGCCTCTAATCCAACCATGTACTAGCCTTAGGCAGTTCAAATATCAGACAGGCAAAGCTTTAAGCTCCTAGCATCTAGGCTTCTGCCTACGTGGCTGCTTCGGTATAAAAAAGGCATCGAAAACTTATGATAATGCTGCCAAGGCGACATCGCTATTATTTCAAACCTCAGATTGTGGGGTGACTGACAATCTGGGTCAAAGTTCGAAATTCTGATGCACTCATATCAGATTCCGATGGCGGCTTCTTAGGCCAGATCGCAAAATAGACAAAAATAGATAGTTACACAAAACTTACCAATGAACACCATCTTTACAAATAATTTCTGGAATCACTGTTTCATTTTCGATAAGACAATTGGTGAGAAATACTGTATATAATTCTACAGTCTATTACTCGCAGAGGAAAAGAGGAATCAAAATTAAAAAAAAAGTTAAGAAATTTGAACGTTAAATCAAAATCCTTCAAAATAGCTTAGTGAAGCTACGCCAGTTCTCTGCCAATGAATCTTTCAGTTGCCTTGCTATACCTTGAAATTACTACTGTAGGAAACGTGTAATATGTGTTATACAAGCTATAGTTTATAACACACAATAACTCATTCCAGTAACTTTCCTGGTTGTCCTGTGTTTCGACCATATGTCGAAAATCTTCAACAGCGCGTAAACTAAGAGCGACACTAAAGATCACTGTGTTCAGACCTGTGAGTGTTCAGGAGATCCTAGATATTTCTGTCTCTACAAAGTCGACTGCATTAGGCTGTGATGGTATTGGCGTAGACATGATTCGTCTTTGTTTACCTGAAGTACTCCAGTATCTAACCCATATTATTAATATATGTTTGGAAACTGGGAGTTTTCCTAATGTCTGAAAAGAAGCAATAATTCTTTCTCTAGCCAAAGTAAAAAATCCCATAACTCTTGCTCATTTACGATCCGTCAGCATACTGTGTTTCATTTCCAAGATATTAGATTATCTCCAACTACAGTATATTCAGATAAGAGATAGACCGGACATAAACAAGACCACGTGATCATCGAACGCTGTAACATTCGGCAGGGACGTATTAAGAGTCACGCAGTACATATTTTAGATAGTAGATGCTGATTTGCGTAACTTTGTAGTAAATTAGCACAATTTGATGTGTATACGATTGGTGATGGATATAGGATCATGTGGGGGTGGGGTAAGAAATATATAATGATGTAAATATACATAAGGGTTTCAAAATTTTCGCTTCGGATGCCTCCTGATGTTTGGTGAAATACAGTCGAATATAATCTCAAAATGGCGTTTAAATTAGCCTAAATTAAAAATAATCGTATATCTCTTAAAATTGCTTTTAGAATATTGATTAGTATATTTTTTGATTTCTAGGTAAATATGTAACCAAATTAAAACGTTCAAAACGTAAAAAAATGTGCATGGTTGAACATTGTCAGAAAGTAGATTCTTGAATAGGTTTTGCCAAAATGGGTTCAAAAATGTCAATAATTAATTAAAAAATACAGTAGCTTTATAATTACTTATAACTTACCGAATTTGATGAACGACATCTTTTATTGGAAATATGAGCTTGATGAGCTTTCATCATCGCTACTGCCTGAAGCACCAACGTCAATGAATGAATGCTCGACTTGTTCCTCTAAAATATTGTCCAGTTCCCACATTCTCTTTTCAACTTTGTCTTTCACGTGCTTAATACAGTTTTCCCATTTTTGCGCTGTTATTAATTCCAGTGCTTCTTTGAAAATTCCTTTGAGGTCACAAAATTTAAAAGTTGTATTGTGCTTAGCTATATAACTTTTAACCTCTGCCCATATGAGCTCAATGGGATTGAGCTCGCAATGGTATGGAGGTAAACGGAGCACAGTTTTATTTTGACTTGCTGCCATTTCGTCAATGGCGTATTTTTGATATTCCGCCTTGTGATCCTTGACAATTCTTAATAATTGTACTTTCAGCATTGCTTCTTCAAAGTTGATATTTTTCGAGCGGAGCCAATTTTGAACATCAACTTCCTTGAAGCCGTTGTTGGGACCTTCTCCATTCTTCGAGAATGATAAGGCGCATTATCCAACACAATTACTGCGTTTTCCTCAAAGTTCGGTAAAATTTTTGAAAACCACTGTTCAAACGATTCGCCATTCATTTCCTCGTGGTATCTCCAGTTTTCTTAGACTCAAAGCACCACAGACCGTCAACAACAAATCCATCCTCACTGCCAATATGGCAGATAATGAGCCTTTTCCCTTTACCTGGAAATCGAAGTACTAACTGGTGTAGATTTATTTCAATAAGCGAACCTTTTTCAAATGTTTTCATCACATTCAGCGAAAAAACATTGAGACATGAGTATCAGATTGCTATAATTGGGATTATTTAGTCATATTGAAAGAAAGAATAATGAACGTCGTATGATTACTCAGCGCTTCACAATTTAATTTAAAGTTATAAACCTTTAAAAAATGAATGATCAGGAACCTGAAATACGCGCAAATATTATATTAACAAATTATAACTTTATAAAGCTTAAAGTATGAATTAAAATGATTAGAAATATTAGGAACGGTACACAATATAAAACTTAGTAACTTTTTTTAAGTTTATAATATTCGACATATTTTAAGATTATATTAAAAAATTATTGAAATATCGAAAACACATAAAAACATGGCTTAAAAAAGTTCTAACAAATGAAAATGACAATAAAACATCCACGCATTTTATCGAAAGTTATAAAAGTTTTGTTACTTGTAATATGTTTTATCTTCCCCCTGGAATTAATGTTTAGAACCTTGTTCCCAAGGTTTGAAAAACATCCGATTGTTGTCTATTACTCGTATTTACCTGCTGGATTTTTTAATCCGGTGGACAGTCCATCTAGAAAGGCCCTCCTGGATGAAGTTACAGAATCATCAACCCATACTTTACTTGTAGTGTGTCCTGCGTTTACCCACGTTTCATCAAGGTAATAAATCTTTTGATTTCTATATTTCCCAATTTTTGTTAAATAATCCCTCCTCCATAGCACAATTTCTTCTCTATCCAGTAGTAAACTATTACGACCCCGTTTTTTCCATTTGAAATTTAAATGCTTCAGTAACGCATGGAAAGTTGATCGTTGAAATTTGGCAACGTTGTATCTCCATTTACCTCCTGCAGTACTTTATCTATAGTAGGTATTTCATTCCTAAAGAAGAATTCATGCACTTTCCTCCAAGCTTCATCCAATGATTTAACAATACTTTTGCGATGTTTACTGGTCATTGGCTCAGAAAAGGTGTGATTTTTTGTATTGTCTTAACTGATGCGCGACACACCCCAACTTTGTGAGAAACCTTCACAACAATTTCTTTGATGGTTGATACCTCGTTCTCCTCGCGCTCGATCTTATATATATTCAAATGACCTCTTTCATTTCTGCACTCAGGTGTCTGTTTTTAGAGCGTTTCCTAGGTGGACTACAGGAGTTTACAACTTCATCGGCAGTATCTGTACTACTGGGCATTTTGCGCAAGCAGTTGATAACAATAACATCAATAACAAGGTATAACAATAACAACGACAAACTCAACAACTTAATAAGATAACAAACGAAAACGTCCAAGAAATATCAAATTGCAATGATGCACACGACATACGTAACACGTCTGAACCTGAATGTGACTCTGCCTTGATACGACTGCTCTGC